CTGGGGCTGCCCAGCAAACCGTGAAGCCGGTAGCGCTCGGGCAGCCCTTTTCGCATGGCTGGGAGGGGGAGGGGAGGGGGCGGGGTTAGGATGGGGTTGGGGCGGGGAAGGGGCGGAGTTGGGGTGGGGCTGGGGTGGGGAAATGGGCAGGGCCAGGGCCCCGTGGAGGGTCCTCTTTTTTTATTTGTTAAATATGGTAACCCTAGGTTCACCCTACTCAGAGGCATGGGAGAATCACAATCCCCGCACTCTCACAAGCACAAGGACTGTTTCCCTCCCACTCATGTGTCCCAAGAGGTGCCAGTTGCACCAAAGGGAGGTGGGAGGAGACAGAGCTATAGTTCCACACCTCCTCACTGGAGTGAGCAGGCTGCACCCATCCTCACAGATGGTACAGTGTGAACTCTTCCCTGGGCTCTGTGAGGGATGTGTCTGATGAGGTGAAACCCTGTTGGAACTCCTCCAGTGGTGGTGGCTCCACATTGTCCCCAGAGCAGGGCTGTGCCTCTGGAACAATCATGCCCTATAAATAAGGCTACGATTTTGTCACAGAGGTCGCGGAACTCACAGGATCCGTGACTTCCAAAGACCTCCGTGACTTCAGCCCTGGTGGCTGGGAGCTGCAGGGTTTTGCCGCCTCCCACAGCAGCAGGGAGCTGTGATGTACCCTCCCACCCTGAGGCAGCAGGCCCCCAAACCCCCAGTTCCCTGCCGCTGTGGGCAGGGGGATCCCCGCAGTTCCCTGCCAACCGGGGCGGGGCAGGGGGACCCCCGCAGCTCCCCACGGTGGTGGTAGCAGGGGGATCCCCACAGCTCCCCGCCGCTGTGGCTCGGAGCTCCCACAGGTGGTGGGGTCCCCAGAACTCCCAGCCACTCCGCAGTTGCCCAGCTCCTTCCCATTTTATCATGGATATTTTTAGTAAGAGTCACAGACAGGTCACAGCTTCCGTGAATTTTTCTTTATTGCCCGGGACCTGTCTGTGACTTTTACTAAAAATACCCATGAAAAAATCTTAGCCTTATCTATAAATTATGGCCTAGATTTTCAGAAGGATCTAGTAATTTGGGTGCCCACCTTTACACACTTTAAACGGGGCTGATTTTCAGAGGGCTGGAGATCAGCACTTTGTGAAAACCAGGCCTCTCGATCATGTCTTAAGTTAGGCACTCAAAAATCACTAGTCACTTTGACAATTTAGGCCTATTTTTTAAAGATGCTGAGCAACCACATTTCCAACTTAAGTCAATGGAAGCTGTAGGGCAGTGGTTCTCAAAGCCGGTCCGCCGCTTGTTCAGGGAAAGCCCATGGCGGGCTGGGCTGGTTTGTTTACCTACCACATCCGCAGGTTCAGCCGGTCGCGTCTCCCACTGGCTGCAGTTTGCCGCTCCAGGCCAATGGGGGCTGTGGGAAGCGGCACGGGCCAAGGGATGTGCTGGCAGCCCTTCCCGCAGTCCCCATTGGCCTGGAGCAGCGAACCATTGCCAGTGGGTGCCGCGATCAGCCGAACCTGCGGACGGGGCAGGGAAAAAAACCCGCCCCGGCCGCCCGGGGGTTTCCCCGAGCAAGCGGGGGGCCCG